GTAGGTCTTAAAAGACCGAACAGTAAATGATAGCCATCAGTCAGTAACAGAAGTGGTTCCAACGAGGGAACCGACAGAGATCTCTGTAACAGTAACAATACACAGTAGTTGCTAAGGATGCCACAATACAGTTCAGAATATAGGACATACATTCATTCAATTAACAGTATCAGTTCAGAAAGCAGTACAGTTCAATTGTTCAGAAGATAATCATTTTGAACATATCTTTACACAGTTGTTACTCACAGAGTTCTGGGCTACAGTAAAGCTAGAGCGCGTCCCCAGTCGCTAACCCTACACAGTTACAGATTGAACACACACTAAGCTACAAAGTTGGGAAGGATAACAACTTAATCCCTAATTTGCCTCGGTATGGTTCTATATCTATATCCTCAATAAGATGTCTTAAACTAGGTCTAAGAATGCCTAGGATGGGATGAGGATACAAAGATGCACTTTAAAAGCATTTTCAAAATTTTCAAAAAACAGGGGTCACGCTCGAGCGTAGGTTACTCCGCTCGCGCGACATCAGACAAAGGTTTCCGCTCGAGCGTAGACTTACCCGCTCGAGCGTTCTGTAAAAAGTCAAAAGTGCTGGATAAGCGAAAATCATGCTCGATTGGGCGCTCGACACCCGCTCGAGCATGAGACACAATGTCCCGCTCGAGCGTCAATAATGGTTCCCGAGCGGACTTCAAAACAGAACAAAATGCTGGGAGCACGATTTCCACGCTCGAGCGCCAGTCACCCCGCTCGAGCGTGAGTCCAAATTCTGGAAATTCCAGATTTGAACCTCAAGCTCAAAACCAAGTTTTAAACCATAAATTTCGATCCTCTTGGGCCAATTTTCTAGAAAACACATCAAAACTCATACTTTAACATGATTCAAAGCTCAATTTGTAAAATCAAGGCCCAAGGGTGTTTCAAACAACTCAATTTGAAACCAATTTTCATGAATATGAAGAACATGCAAACATGCATGAATTTAAATCATTTCAAAGCTTCAATTACATGCTCTAAGGAGCCAATTGTTCCAAAAACAAGATGAAAACATGGTTCTAAGCATTAACATGGACATGCATGCAAAAATCCATGAAGAACAACCTCAAAAATGCAAGAGTATGCCATGCATGCAAAGATTAAGCTTCAATTCAACACTATTGAACCAATTCATGCCTTAAATCACTAAAGACCTATTAATCATGCAAGAATAGACTCAAATACACAATGAAGAAGATCAATGATCTACCTTAGGTCTTGGATTATGGGTCAATGCTGCTATCAACCTTCAATTCTACCAAGATCAAGCCAAATTGTGAAGAACTCAAGCTTTCACCACCTCTCACTCTCTCAAGTCGGCAAGAACAAGGAAAAAGGGCTGATGAAGTGTGCTAGGTGATCAAGTGTGTGAGGCTCAAATGTTTAGATGATAGGCCATTTAAGTGGCAAAATTGTGAATAAGTGTAACAATGCAATTTAACTCATTTTAAATCTAATTTAATCATACCTAATCAGTTTTCAGGTAATTACACCATAAAATCACATAAATCACGATGATCATAAAACACTAATCGGTTTCCGGTTCGGCCGCCGATAAGGCCTTCAATTCGCAATTTAACCATAAAAATACGAACAGATAATCAAATAACCAAACAGATAGAATTACAATTAAACTGGTATACTCAGTCAATTCAGTTTCAATTTCAGTCAGTCAGTTCAGTAGTTTATTCAGTTCACTTATCATTCATAATCAGTTTCAGTTTAACGGTAATCAGTGGTTATTCGGTAAACAGTGACGAGGGTTGTTACAGATGATCATTACCTCTTCGATGCATCCTCCATTTTCATGGCCATTCTGCAACTTCAGATCATACCCATCCACACCTCTTTCTCTACCCACGTTTATAAAGCCACTTCCAGTCTGCTCAACATTATTATTATGAGAAAATCAAATCAACCCTCAACATACATTTGAGTATGAAAAACAGAAGAGTGAGAAAGACAAAGTATATAGTATATTACCGTGAGAACCATCGGACTAGTGCTTGCCCAAGTAGAAGAAAATGAGTGATATGAAAATGAGACCTGAGATCTTTAGGAATGTTGATGATTTTATGAAATCTCCATTGTCGATGAAGCCTTTTATTCTTCAATCTCTGCTTTACTAGATCTGATCTCTCTCTCTCTCTCGCCCGAGGTTTCAATCATTCAAAATAGAATTCAAAGATGTTCAAACTAGTTTAGAACTGCTGTGTAGTTTGGAAACGTAGGGTGGTGGAATTGGTTGGTTGGTTTGAATTTATCATGTTACCCTTAACTACAAATTGATATTAGTGTAAAAATAATATAATTATTTAAAAAGTTATGGCCATTTTAAGAAAAATGAAAAAAAAAATTTAAGAAAGGTTTCAGGACACCAAAGCTGCTGTTGACTTTTAATAATAGTATAGATATTTAAAAAGTTATGACCATTTTAAAAAAAGGGAATTTTTTTTTAAGAGAGGGTTCAGGACACCAAAGTTGCTGTTGCGTTTTAATAATAGTATAGATAGAGTATTCACAGTGGAAACACAAACAAATCAAACCGTCTCTCTCCCCGTCTCCCTCATCACTCACTTAGCAATAGCTAGGGTTTTATTATCTTTCTCTCCCCTGTAGAAACCCTAGCGTTGAAACTCCCATCCCCAACAACAGCAATCACCATCAGTGTTGGATCTGCCATCGCCGATCCGCCGCTGTTGCCCGTCGCGCAGCACCTCCTTCTGCCGCAGAACCACCACCTCAATGTTGGCGATGGCAGATCTTAAAGGACGACCAAACCCTAAAGAGCTACGGGTAATTCAATCGATTCTCACCATACTCGTTTTTTATATATGTGAATGTAGATGTAGGTATTAGCATTGGAATCAGAGTTTAGTGCTTAAACAATCTCCTTTATTAAGAAAAAGATAGTGATAGGACTTCTATGAAGGTACTTTAGTTGAACTTTATTTTTTGTGTGATTATTGTTGGGTCTTGCTTTTCCAGTTACTTCCACTGTTAATATTGGCTAAAGTAACCCAGGGGTGAGTGGCAACCTGGTAAGGGCCTGGGGTTTAAGCCCCTAGGTCCTGGGTTCAACTCTCCTCTGGGCTAATCTCCTGGGCGTAGCACAGTTGGTTAGGAGGTTGACCTCAAGGATGCTTTATCAGCTACTTGGTGTGGGTTTAATTCTCCCCCACTGTGTGAGTCCTGACTTAAGCGGAACTTGCCTTGGGAGGTCGGGATAAGCTTCCAGGTTATAGTCTCTTACTCGGAACGGACAACAGGACACCTTGGTGATTTCCTCAAGGGGGCGCTGCCTTGGACCTGCGGGAGAGGGAGGATTTTCCTGTAACAAAAAATATTGGCTAAAGTTTTGTTTTTCCGTAATCATTTGATGGCCAAGAAGATAAATGAAATAAAAGAAGAAGTTGGTTACAATGGTTTCTCAACAATTATAGAAGAATTCTATAATTCTTTTTTTATTCAGGGAAAATAATCATTCATAATGTTTGTAAAATGACTGCAAAAACAACCAAAACATGCATTAGTTTTTTCAATTGTCATATTCTTTTATTAATTTTTGTTTTTCTTTAAAGATAAATGTTTTAATTACTCATTTTAAGGAAGGACTGTAGATTGTGTTAGTGGACATGATGACAATTAATTGGTATACAAATCACAGGACACCCTACTTTCTTCTTGGATTACAGAACAGGATGCCATGACTGGGCACTAATATTCTTTAGTCCAAAAAAGCAAAAGATTTGGGTTGTGTTTGGTTAACACTTTAGAAATACAAATTACTTTTTTGTGTACTTTCAAAATGCCATTAAAATAGTCTCTGACTAGATCACTATCTTGTCCCTTTCTTTTTTATAATTGACTACATACTCCTAAGGCCAATCATGATACTCAATGATAAAATTGAGGAGCGAAATGATACTTTCGTTTCGTATGCCAACATTGTGTTACTTTTTTATTTTTTATTTTGTAAACAATGTTTGGTTCCCAAACCTGTTGCAAACTTGATTTGCTTAAAACTATGGTTTCATGCAACATGAACATTAGATGGAAATGTACCACCTGTACCAACATAGTTCTCTAAATTGTTTGGTTATTGTGACGAAGATGCGTAGAGACCAGCACATATCGAAATTGTTTATATATATCAGAACACTCCAAAATTATTAGAGAAAATCATATGAAAAGCATTACGTTTCGAAAAAAAATTGGATCACTGTGGAGAATTTATTTATGAGCTAAATTGTACAGTAATTTACTTTTGCTCTCTCCCCCTGCAATCGCAGATTTATTAGGGTTCCTTCAATTTGTAATTTTTTTTAAAAATTGTTATAGCTGGCAAAATTGGAACTTACACAATTCACTGAATTAGAAACCTTTGCACAATTCACTTCCAATCTCAATAAAGCTATGCAAAATCAATTGACAAGAGGTCAACAATTATGTGAATTGCTCAGCAATCCCAATCAGCTCATCTTACGGTGGAAGAACAGATAATGACTATTTATACCGGAACAAATGGTTATCTTGATTCACTAGAAGTTGGACAGATAAGGAATTTTCTTGTTGAGTTACATACTTATATTGTCACCCACCCAACCTTGCCCGCTATGCAGAATCAATTGACAAGAGGTCAACAATTATGTGAATTGCTCAGCAATTCCAATCAGCTCATCTTACGGTGGAAGAACAGATAATGACTATTTATACCGGAACAAATGGTTATCTTGATTCACTAGAAGTTGGACAGATAAGGAATTTTCTTGTTGAGTTACATACTTATATTGTCACCCACCCAACCTTGCCCCTATCAGTTCACTCAAGTCTAAGTCACGACTCACTTCTCAACTAACATGACTTCACAAGGTCACTGTTCAGGACCAGTGTGACTGTGCAACGTAGAAAGGCATTCTTGGTGTTCTCTCTCTACGGTCCGTATTCTTCCACAATTCTCTCTTTGGCTTTCTTTATTTGTCTGTCTCAAATAATAAATTGGGAATGGGTGCTATTGCCTAGTAGCTAGGGCTTCTGCATATTGCATTTTACTTGATTATTCTGATTAAATGACAAAACAGACAGACATCTGAGAGACAAACATTGGAGAAAGACATTTTGGTTCAATTGGGGGCTCTGGTTGTCTCTCACACTGTACTGCACAACACGCATTTACAAATATCCCCGATCTTATCCTTGATATTTTTCACTCGAATAAAAATTAGGGATATTGATTTGTACTAAAAATAACATGTTTTGATTTGCTTCTAGTCTCTCCACGGCATACCTATGAGAATGAGGTATGAAGAGCCGTGGTCGACTATGGCCCTAACAAGTGAGCTATGGTCGATTATGACCCTACGGAGTAAGCTATGGTCGAGCAAGCAAGCTTCGCTCAGTCGGGTAGTGCAATGGGCCATGTATGGAGTTTTCCATACTCATTCTATTAGTGCTCCGGCTCATCACTAGTGCACAGAGCGCGCTAATGGGCCAAGGAACCATACTTGATAGTCTATATGCCCCCATTTAGGCTAGGTATATGATTTTTCATTGTTTTACACTCTTATCTGCACTTCATGGACTAGTAATTATGATCTGCTTGGAAAAATAATATTGCTCTTGCATATATGTTACTTTTTATTCTGGTTTCGAAAGTGGAATTCCAAAAGAAATCATAGCTTGCACCAACTTTAATATTATCAAGCTTTTATTTTGTTGTGTTCTTTGCCAAGCATGCTTAGTCAGTATCAAAACTCAATTATTTCCTTCCTTCATTGATTATCTACTTTATTCCTTCTGTCATTTTCAGCTTGTATGAAAAGATCGTGGAGGGAATCAGAGTTTAGCACTTAAACAATCTCCTTTATTAAGAAAGAGATAATGATAGGACTTCTATAAAGGTACTTTAGTTGAACTTTATTTTTTGTGTGATTATTGTTGGGTCTTGCTTTTCCAGTTACTTCCACTGTTAATATTGGCTAAAGTTTTGTTTTTCCGTAATCATTTGATGGCCAAGAAGATAAATGAAAGAAAAGAAGAAATTGGAAATTTACAATGGTTTCTCAACAATTATAGAAGAATTCGTGTTTGGTGTGTTGTGTTTTTGTTTTTTTGAAGTTTACTTGTGTTGTAATCAACCAAGAAGCATGTGTGTGCTGTGCTGTTGGTTAAATGATTGAAGAGAAGAGTGAGAATTAGGAAAAGAGTGAGAATTATACCTTCGAGTAAGATAGTTTTTTTTAGTCTAGTTTAATATTCCCTTCTAGTTCATGAATTATGTTGCTCAATATTTTGAAGTGTTTAATTTTTTTGGTATGGCATGAAGGCTTCATGAAGATATCGAAAAAGAGGTGTGGCTATATTTGTGTCAATTGTGGGCTGATAAGACGTACCAGGTAATGTTACAGACAAATATCTGTCATATTTCGAAATTTAGTTTGATTAGATTATGTAGCTTATACAAACAGTAAGTAATCAAATGAATGAGTTGTTATGGAGTTTAGAATATATCTCATCATTGAAGGTAACTCTGACTTGATTTTTCTGGTTGGTGATTCTTTGTGGTTGGCAATTGGTTGATGCTTTGGGCATTGTGGGGATGGTTAGATAAAAAATTACCGTATATTAATCTAGAGGAACATTAATTAGAGCAACATACTATATTTGTATACCATAAAATGCCATTCCTCATGGAAAATTCATTTTCTTTCCATTTTCCTCAGTTTTCTCAGCAAACATACAGCAATTATGCACCAGTATATAACTCAATTTAAGATAGCTTCTGAAACTTGAATATCAAAGCCCAAATATGACATCAATCAAAAACATTAATTTTTTATGAAGCATATAGTGATTATATTATACCCCTACGTACTCCAATTTTGCATAAACCCACAAAATGACTGCAAATAAACAGTATTCAAGAACATAAATTTAGAGTATTTTTATAGTCTTTTGATGGGTTTCTTTCATTCCTTTTGCTTTTGTGCTGTTACTAGTTCAATGGTTTATTCTGGAAGTAATGGACTTAAGCTTAGTTTTTCTTTAGTTCTGCCATACAATTTACTAGAAATATTGTACATAATGTTTATGCACAATGCAAATAGAAATTATGTGAGTTGAAGTGTATGCTTATATGCTCACAAGTTATAGTGCCCTCTCTTTGTATTTGTTGTTTATTCCATGTCTGTTTCATCTAGTGCTAACTCAATTCTTTCAGTTTTGTTTTTCTTTAATCTAATTCCTAGTTATTCTGTAATCTAATTCCTTTAACATTTGGAATTTATTGTTATTAAGGTATGGCATCGTCTGATAAGCCAGAGATAGTTGAAAGTATTGATCAATTCATCCATTTCAATTGCTTCCGTTAGTTGTTTTTGTGTTCTTGCACTGATTCTGAATCTGGGTTGTCTTCACCTCTCTGATAAATCCATTTCAGGTGTGATTTCTTTCAATTTTCAGTTCAATACACAACCCATATGCCATCTTTATACTTCTTTGCTTCAATCCGTACTTTTATCTGCAAATTTTCAAGTTAAATGGCTACGAGTTGAACTTGATATGTGATTTGTTTGATTTTTGTTCACTTCATGTTATTTATTTGCAAATTCATTTTTCAACATATGTATACACGGAGATTTATGTGGATCTGTGTGTATATGCTGATAATGAAGAGATTTATGTGTGTTTTCTTTTATGCACTAAAATAATTAATTTAGGTGTTCATTTTCTCAATTCTTATCTTTTTTGGGTTTGTTCATGTATGCTTTTTCTCTTTTGATAATTTCTCATGATTTGGTTTTAATACTTCATTTTTTAAAATTAAAAACTAAAAATTTGCTCTTTGTTGGTCTCTGCCATAGTGAAATTGAAGCTCATTCCATTGCCATTTCGCTTATATTTTACCAAGGAAGCACGGATACGGATACGGATATGGGTACGGATACAAATACGGATACGGGTAGGATACGATACGGATACGGCGATACGGCAAAATTCGAAAAAGTAAGATACGGATACGGCGGGGATATGTTCATAAAAAATATTTTTTTTCATAATTTTTAGTAATGTAGCATACACAAAAATAGAACTTCAACAATTTTTAGTAATGTAATAATAAAACTTTAACAATTTTTAGTAATGTAGCATACATAAAAATAAAACTTAAAACAAAACATTAATGTAGCATTACCCATAACAACCATAATGCATCACCCATAACAAAAAATTCATCAATTCAATTAAATTTCAACAATTTCAACAATATAGCATCACCTATAACAATCATAATGCAATTCAATCCCAAATTAAGGGGGAAAAAATTTACAAAGTTCATTTATTTATCAATAAGTTTATTTATTTATTTATTTATAAGTTTTTTTTTACCTTATTTGATTTATTAATAAGTTTACAAAGTTTATAATTTTATAAGTTGACAAAATTTATTTTTAATAAGTTTATTTATGGGGAGATGAGATCGAATCGAGATCTCCAACCAGACAGACAGATCGAGCGACAGCGAGAGGGAGAGGGAGAGAGAGAGAGTTCGTGAGATAGAGTGAGACAGACAGAGGGAGCGAAAAGGAGAGAGAGAGGGACGAACCTGATGATCGACGATCGTAGAGCTCCTGTTCGCGAACCTGGTCGACGATCAGCGAGCTGCTGTTCGAGACGACTACGAACTCCTTCTCCTCCTCCTTCGCGGCTGCTGTTCGACCTAGGTAAGAGAGAGTTTGATTGATTATTATTTTTCTTTTTTTTTGTGTTTTATTTCATCTCATTTTCAGATTTTATAATTTGACCCCATTTTAAGTTTTTTAAATTATTTTTTTTGCCCCGTCGTATCCATACTGTATCCTGACCGTATCCTCGCGTATCCTAGACGTATCCGAAATTCCATATTCGAAATTAAAAAAAAAATAAAAAAAATTGGATACTTCATTTCCTGTATCTGATACGTATCCCGCCGTATCGGGTGCGTATCCATATCCGATACGTATTCGATACACGTACGAGGGCTATTTCGGAGTATCCGTGCTTCATAGTATTTTACTGATTTGGATCTAAAAGTGGGGTTTTATTGATTTTGTTTTGCCTCACTAAGTTGGGTAATGTGAATTTTCTCTGCTTGTGTTTTCATCTTCAAAGATTGTTTTCTTAATCCATCCCCTTTTTTCTGTTGTGCTTTTATTTCCTTTCTATTAAACCAGATTGCAGAATAAAGAAATAAGTAATTATCTTTTGTAAGACTGAAACAATCTCTACAAATAGTTAGTTTATTCATATGCTTCTAGTGATTTTTGAATTAATTTGTGTTTTCCGTTTTCAGGTCAAAAATTTCTTGGAGAGATGCAAAATATGGTCAAAGAATTCTAGAATTTTGTTTTTTTAGTTTTTTCATTTTTTAATATATGTAAGCACAGTTTAAAACTTTTTATTTAATTCCTTTGTATATACTTTTGAACATATTTAACTTTCATTTATGAAATATATGACATTATTCCATTTTATATGTGGTTGTGATTCAAAGTATAGCATATAATGTGTATTACATTCTTGAAATATGCGTACAAAAATAATATTGATTATTTTTCAAATATGTCGAATTTTTTTTTTATCACACGCATTAACTGTGATGAGAAATACATATAACGTGTGATCTTATCTTATTATTAATCACATGTTTTATTAGATATTAATCACACTTAAAAGATGTGATCTAAATATTATTAATCACACTTAAAAGGTGTGATCTAAATGCTTATTATCACATGTTTTATTAATATTTAATCACACTTAAAAGATGTGATCTAAATGTTATTAATCACATTTAAAAGAACTTAAAAAGTGTGATTAAATAACATAAATTGCACAAAAAAAATGTGATCTTTATCTATTTTTGTAGTGGTGCTAGCTTATATTTATTAGTCTTTTAGTAGCTTATGATATTTGATACAACAAAGTATTTTTCTCCTTTTCAGGTTAATATCGTTCTGGAAAGAAAAAGATCGTAACAAGAGAAAAAAAAAGAGTGCAAATCCGTGACTGAGTAGTTCTGTTCGAGCAGAATACACAATCTGCATCAGCAGATTTCCTTGAATAAGTTTTGCCTCTTAGTTGATTTGCTTGAGCGGAACATTTAAATGGCATGCATGGATTTGTCTCGTTTTGTGTGCATGCATTTTTGACTCAGAATTGACTTAGAGGTGATAAAAGGAAGTTTTGGGTAATTGTTTTGGCATCTGAAACCCTAGAGAAAACGGCTAGAATCTAGAAGAGAAGAATAATTATCAATCCATGGCGTTCTTTTCAACCTTTGAAGTGTTCAACCTTTCTATAAGCGGCTAAATTTTTTTCTTAGGATTGAGATGAAACTCTAATAAAGTATCATGTAATTTTGTACTTTAATTCTAGTTTTTCTTTGGAATTAGATAATCGTTGTATGATTGTCTTTAGATCTTTTATCCAATTTATGTATTTGATTTTTGTGACTGAGATTGTATGATCATATAACTATTTTACTTTCTTGTATATACCAATTGGGAGATGAGTCATCCTTAGGAGAGACAAGTCATGCCGCAACCCAAGTTTAGTGCAAACAATTCATGTCGACCAAAGATGATTCGTACCAGTGTTTTGAATATACTCATCCTCTTGGGCTTGTGGTCACGATATATCATTATTATCTGAGCCATTGATTTACTATAATTAAATATTTTAATTACATGATATGAGATCAGTAGTGGATTCAAAATTCTAAGTCTCTCTTTCTATTCAGACAACTCTCTTTATTTGTGCAGTTACTTTAGTTTTAATTTAAATTCTCATTAGTAGAAATCAATCATCATCTCTTCTTCAAATTAAATTAAAAATTACCAATCGAATTGATACAACTCAACCCAAAGTTCTCGTGAGATAATACTTGGACAATCTATTGTTTTATTGAATTAATATTTTGTTTAGTTCTTCATTTTTGATTGAAAAATGACCGATCAATCATCAAACCATGAATAAGAGATTAAATTGATTCATCGTTTCCAAGGTTGCAAACAGTTACCATCCAAACTTTTATTTATGTATTCAAATTGAGATATTACACAATGCCGAATGTTATATGCTGTGACACCAGCGATAGAAGATAGATGATACAAGTACCTTAACTCTTTTTTCTTTGACAGTATTAATGACAGTATCAAAAAAAGCCAATGTTCGGGAGCTACATTGGCATTGGCAAACTACATATCAATGACAGTATCAAAAGAAACCAACGTTAAAGAGCTACATTGGCAAACTAGGCAGCTTTCAAAGTGTTGGCAACGTCAATGACAAACCGGTATTTGACATCAACTTTTTCTAGACGTTCCATTGCAGTGTTCACATAGTCCATCGAAATGACCTCAATATCTGCTGTTATGTTGTGTTTCGCTGCAAAATCAATCATTTCTTGTGTCTCCTTCAACCCTCCAATGGCACTTCCAGCCACCAACTTCCTCCCTGTCATTCCACATTCAAATTTAGAAATGGTTTCCACCAGGCAATGTTGGTTTTATAACCCGCTTTGAATTCATATAACAAATTAGTAGTGTCAAATATTTACCCATAAGCAGAGGAAAGGCAGGCAGATCCAGGGGCTTGTTTGGTGCGCCAAGCATGATGAGCTTTCCATGAGACTTCAGCAGACCAAGCAACGGCATGAGAGGGTGAACTGCGGATACTGTATCAAGGATACCATCCATTGTGCCCATGGCCGCCTATGCACATTCAACATGCCAACATAAGAACATAAAAACAAAAATTGTAAGTGCATAACAGCATAAACAAGAAAATTTGTTACCTGCATCTGATCAGGATCTCGACTGACCAAAAATGAATCAGCACCAAGATGTTCAATGGCTTCTTTCTTCTTGTTAGGGGATGTACTAATCACAGTCACCTTAGCACCCAAAGCCTTTGCGAACTTCACACCGACATGGCCAAGGCCACCTAAACCCACCACCCCCACATGCATACCAGGCTTGCCAAGTTCAAAATATTTCAAGGGACTATAAGTTGTGATCCCAGCGCAGAGGAGAGGAGCAGCAGCATCAAGAGGTATGTTTTCAGGAATGCGGACCACGAAATGATCATTAGTGACCATGTGATCAGAGTAACCTCCATATGTGGTTGTTCCGTCATGGTAGGTGCCATTGTAGGTAGGCACCCTTTTGGGACAGTAATTTTCAAGATCGTTGGCACAGTTGTCGCACGAGTGACATGCTCCAACCAGGCACCCCACCCCAACTTTGTCCCCAATTTTGAACTTCTGAACCTTGCTCCCAACCTCAGTCACGACACCCACAACCTCATGCCTGAATGGAGTTGAGAATTGAAATATCAGAAGTAATCAATGAAAGAATCAAAATTTCCTCATATCTGTACATCCAGATTAACTATAGGAACCAATAATAGTAAATGTAGAACTGCCATTGTTGGGTTGTTAAATTTGAGCACACTTTGATTTGCAAAAGCAATTTCATGGCCAATTTAAGTTACCCAGTGGGTTGTGTTTTCATCTTAGAAACAGAGACAAACAAAGACTTCAAACTAGAAAATTACAGAACCAGCTCCACCAATATTTCTCTATATTAGTTGGAGAGAGAGAGAGAGAGAGAGGTGCATACCCTGGGAGGAGGGGATAATTAGAGCCACCCCAGTCATTTTTAATTCGGTGAAGGTCAGTGTGACAGATACCACAATACAATACCTTGAACCTCACATCTTCAGCCCCTGTTGCCCTGCAAACACCATCATATCATAACCCACAATTACATTATATATGTATAGATAGATCCAACTTCACTCATTATCATCATAGATTATCAATAAGCACCAAATAACGAACGAACCCGATTATTTTTTGTTGCTTACAAATTGCCTGACTTATATATAAAGTAAAAAAAAAAAGAAAAAAGAAAGAAAGTAAGAAAGAGAGACAACAATGAAAGTACCTTCTTGAAAATGTGAAGGGAGAAAGAATGCCAGAGTGGTCTCTGGCAGCCCATCCAAATGACTTCACTGGGTGTACTTCCTCTGCTGATTTCGCCATTAATTTACCACCAAATTTCTACTTTGTATTGTTGACCAGAGTTTCCACACAGAGAGAGAGAGAGAGAGAGAGAGAATGGGTATCAAGTAATTGTATTGGGGTGTCCATTTATTTATATAGAAGAAGTGTGAGTGCATGGAAATTGGCTGACGTAATTGCTGAAGTGTGTTTGGTGTAGTTCGTCATTGCTGTGCTAAGCTCTTCTCACTTTAATTATTAATTGTTATAAAGGGACGCTAATTCAAATTCAATCAAAAAGTTCATAAATTTATTTATTAATATTTATAAAAAAAAATTATTGATTTATAATTATTTTTTCAAATGCCACTTGATGTGAAATTTCTCCAAAACAAAATGGTAGAAATTTCAATCAAAACCATAATTTTTTTTTTTAAATATTTTGTTACATGTGATTTGGATGAAAATTATATAAGAACATTTTGAAGAAAAAAATATATTCAACCTTATAGTTTGGGTATTATAAAAATAAAGTTATAAAATTAAGAAGTTTTTATATTTTTACATATTTTTAAGACATTTTTTATATACTTCATAACATTAAATATTACTTAACATTATTTTAAAAACATTTTTTACATACTTCATAACATTAAATATTACTTAACAGTCATTTGTTAGCATTTGCCATCTATCTATACTATATATTAGTAAAATGAGATTTTTAACCCCAAGCCTTGTGGGAGCTCCAATTTTCCAATCTAAATTTCTTGATTTTTTAATTTTTTTTTAAAAAAAATCTTAGCATTTATTAACTTCTCCAAACTCCAAAATCTTACCCTTATAATAACACTTTATTGCATTAAGAACAAGTACAAAAAAAATTCTTTGAAATCCAACACATATGAATTCTTTGAAAAGTCCCAAAACATATGATTATTATCTATCATAATAACACTTTAATGCATTAAGAACAAGCATAAAAAAAATTTCTTAAAAAGTCCAACACATATTATTATTATCAAAATATTAAACTTTAATATAATATAATAAAAAAAGAAGACATTTAATTCTTTGAAAAGTCCAACACATATGATTATTATCAAAAATATTAAACTTTAAAATAATATCAAAAAGGAAAAACAAGAAGACATTAAAATAAATAAATAAATAAATATTTAAAATTCGCATCTATCTATACTATATATTAAGCAAAAGGGAATTTTTAACCCCAAACTTTATGGGAGCTCCAATCTCTCAATCTAAATTTCCTAATTTTTTGATTTAAAAAAAAAAAACTTTAGCATTTATTAACTTCTCCCAACCCCCAAGCTTACCCTCATAATAACACTTTAATGCATTAAGAACAAACATAAAAAAAATTCTTTAAAATCCAACACATACGAATTCCTTGAAAAGTCCCAACATATATGATTATTATCCCTCATAATAACACTTTAATGTATTAATAACAAGCATAAAAAAATTCTGAAAAGTTCCAACACATATGATTATTATCCAAATATTAAACTTTAATATAATATAATAAAAAAAAAGACATTTAATTCTTTAAAAGTCCCAACACATATGATTATTATCTCTTATAATAACACTTTAATACATTAAGAATAAGCATAAATTTTTTTTTGAAAAGTCTAGCACATAGGATTATTATCAAAATATTAAACTTTAATATAATATAATAAAAAAAAGAAGACATTTAATTCCTTGAAAAATCCAGCACATATGATTATTATCAAAATATTAAACTTTAATATAAAATAAAAAAGGAAAAAAAGAAGACATTTAAAAAAAAAAAACAAGACATTTAAAAATCGCAATTCATACATATATAGATAATTGTAAATATATTAAGAAAAATGAGGTTTCTAAACCCCAAGCCTTGTGGGACCTCCAATCTCTCAATCTTAATTTTCTAATTTTTTGATTTAAAACAAAAAAAAAAAAACCTCAGCATTTATTGATTTGGTCAAAATCCTTTGATCAGCATTTATTAACTTTTTCCAATCCACATGCCTGCATTTATTGATTTGGTCAAAATCCTTAATTAACATTTAAAATCCCCTCATACAAATAATTATAGATACAGCCCGTGCATAAGCCTTGTGGGAGCTCCAATCTCTTAATCTTAATTTAAAAAATTTTTGATTTAAAAAAAAATCTCAGCATTTATTGATTTAGTCAAAATCTCCTGATCAGCATTTATTAACTTTTTTCAATCCACATGCCTGCATTTATTGATTTGGTCAAAATTCTTGATTAGCATTTAAAATCCTCTCATATAAATATTATAGATACAACCTGTGCATAGTTACTGCAGTAGCCTTTTTAATTTCTCCTGTACACTATGGTTAGTGATAAGATTGTTAAATTATTTTTATAAAAAATTTTAAAAAACATAATTTATATATTAAAAAAATATAAATATTTATAATTATCCCGTGCATCGCACGGGTGATAGGCTAGTACTATATATTAAGCAAAATGGGGTTTTTAACCCCAAGCCTTGTGGGAGCTCCAATCTTCCAATCTAATTTTCCTGATTTTTTGATTTAAAAAAACAAAAAAAACCTTAGCATTTATTAACTTCTCCCAACCCCCAAGTCTTACCCTCATAATAACACTTTAATGCATTAAGAGCACGCATAAAAAAAATTCTTTGAAATCTAACACATATGAATTCTTTGAAAAGTCCCAACACATATGATTATTATCCCTCATAATAGCACTTTAATGCATTAAGAACAAGTATAAAAAAAATTTCTTGAAAAATCCAACACATATGATTATTATCAAAATATTAAACTTTAATCTATACTATATATTAAGCAAAATGGGGTTTTTAACTTCCAAGGCCTGTGGGAGTTTCAATATGCCAATCCTAATTTTCTAATTTTTTGTTTTTTTTAAAAGAAAAATTAATCTTAACATTTATTAACTTCTCTCAACCCATAAGACTTTTTGACTTCTCTCATAATTATTGTAGTACCTTTTCCAAAACAAATAATTTGTATATTAAATTTTTTTTAAAACAAATATAAATATCTATGTCTATACCTATCTATTTATTTATATCTATTTCTAACCCACAAGTTTTGTGGGAGTTTCAATATCTGAACCTTAATTTTTTAATTTTTTTTATTTTTTTTGAAAAAAAAAACTTAGTACTTATTAAATTCTTCCAAGTCTTTTTAACTTCTCCAATACACATACTCTTTTTAACTTTTCACATACCTATTGCAAACAGTGAGTCTCCTTTTTATTTTTTCCTTCTTGACTTCTCACTTCTACAGTTTCAACTTTAGTGACCACGTATGCAAACAGTAAGTCTTCTTTTTGTTTTCTCCTTCTTGATTTTTCCTTTTGTTTATTGTTTTAATATTGTAGTTAGATAGTGTAGAAAAATATTTGTGATTTGTCTAGCAAAAAAATTATAATTTATTTTTTTAATATGGTTGAAGTTAGATAAATATAAACCCTCACAAAGAGAAAAATGTGATTATAATTAGTTGAATGATTTTTTTTTTAAATGCGATTGTAATTAGTTTAATAGTTCTTTTTTTTCATTTATTTATTTTATTTTGGAAAAAATGTGATGTGATTATAGTTTGTCCAATGGTTTTTTTTTTTAAATATGATTGTTGTAGTTAGTTCAATGGTTTTTTTTAATGTTATTTAATCTTTTTATTTACTATTTTAATTTTATTTTTGATTTTTTAATGTGATTGAAATTAGATAAATATAAATCCTCACAAAGAGAAAAATGTAATTATAATTAGTTGAATGATTCTTTTTTTTAATGTGATTGTAGTTAGTTTAATAGCTCTTTTTTTTAATAGTTATTTTTTTTTATTTAAAATTATGTGGTGTGATTGTAGTTTGTTCAATGGCTCTTTTTTTAAATATGATTGTTGTAGTTAGTGTTAAGGAGCACAACAAGTCAGCAAAGTCAGCAGCACACCAAAGCAGAGGAGAGTTACAAGTCAGCTCACAACAGAATTAGTTAGAAAACATAATTAGTTAGACAGTTATGACTTAATCAGAGTTAGGTAGCTTGGTTATATTTGAGTTACATGTAAACTGTAGTTAAATAGTAGTTACACAGGTATTCTCTATAAATATGTATATGCACTACTGTAATCATGTTGTTAAGAAAAAGAAATGAAACAGATTCAGTTTTCCTTTATGGTATCAGAGCCACATTTCAGCTCTTACGAGTACTGTTCTTGAAAGATAAATCAATGGCATCTTCACTGCCATCTCTGAATCTCTCTTCTTCTGCAATCGCATCAACTTCATCTTCACCATCATCTTCCATTCCTCCAAACCTTGCTCTTCTCATCACAAATCTGAATTCATTCGTGAATGTCAAACTTGATTCTACAAATTTCATCATTTGGAAAAATCAAGTTCAAAATATCTTGAAAGCTACACAGCTTTTCCAATTTGTTAATGGCACACATGTATGTCCATCATCTACTGTCACTGATGAACACAACAATGTGATTCTGAATCCTGAGTATACACAATGGATGATTATTGACTCTCATCTGCTCAGTTATTTAACTGCAACTCTCTCTCCACCTATCTTCACGTCTGTTCTTCATTGTTCTACAAGTCATGAGGTGTGGAATGCTCTTATCAAACGTTTCACATCCTTATCAAGATCACATATTCACCAGTTGAAGAACAAACTTAATCAAGTTGTCAAGAAAGGCCATACAATGGATGAATACTTGACTCAGATAAAATCCATTGCTGATCAGCTAGCTTTAGCTGCCTCACCTGTCGATGATGAGGACCTGGTTTTATTGATTCTTAACGGATTACCTGATGAGTACAATGCATTTAAAACTTCCATCCGAACTCGATCTGAATCCATTTCTATTGGAGAGCTATGTTCTTTGCTAAACTCTGAGTCTATTCATGTTGAATCCTCATCCAAACAAGGTCATACTGCAGAGCTTCCATTTCATACTGCAGAAATTCCATTTGCTTATCATACTTCCAGAACTGCTTCTCGAGGTGCTTATAAAGGAGGTTCTTACAGAGGTCGAGGAAGAGATGGTAGCAGATTTTTCAAAGGCAATTCTT